ATTTTTACTGTAAAGTCTGTAAAGTTAGCCATTGTTCGAACCATATTCTGAACGTTCAGTATGTGTACCCCAAATTTCTTTTAACAGAAACTCATTGCATAGATACATAATAGAATATAAATAAATATTGTTTTAATTATAACTACATCAACTATATATTCTTTTTTAAGCGTTTGACTTTGATTTCATAAATAGTCTTAATCGAGTGCTCCTGCCATTTCAAATATTTAAGGATGAGTGTCAGGGTCATGCATTGCAGACTTTTATTATTGTCAGCAACAAATAACGATAAAAATTATCTTGTTTGGTTCATTTCCAAAAAAAATTATGTAAACGTTCTGAGCAGGGATTCATAAAGAATGGTTTAAATAATTGACGGATTAAAAAGACATTTCCCGATCAGTAGTCCTAGTCGGCCCATGAAATGGATACCAGCAGGAAAGGAATTTGCACCTGCAATGCATGACCCTGACACTCATCCTTTAATTAAACATATTAAACTATTTGGCTCCTTCTATTTTGTACTTTAGTACAAGAAGCTCCAGTCAGCCAGGATCAAACAACAGGAAGAGCAAAACCACACTGTTCCATTTGTAAACAACCCATGAAAGGTCATAAAAATGTTGCTAATTGCCCAAAAAACCAGAAGTAACTGCAATGGCTAAGCACTCCTATGGCCTGTATGGGCAGAACTGATTAATATACATGTGCTTACAAACATTGTATTAGCAATAATTTAAACTTTTACCATATATTAACTTTTTATATTTCATCTTCCTCATATCCAACAAAGTTATCATCAACCACTTTAAAGGTTGTACGGATGGCATGGTATGCACATGCAGGTAAAGGGATTCTTTTGTCACGAATGACACCATGCACCATTCTTGTAAATTGTCTATATGAGACACTACGAAGAAACCTGTGCAAGTAAAAAAAGTACTAAGTAAACTGAATGCATTTTATAGGTATCAAATATAGATATCAGTCAGTACCAATTGTATCAATGCCCCCTTTTAGACCAGTTCCACCAGGATTGGGTAGATTATACATTTTTCTAGCTCGGGGTAGCAAGAGTATGGGTGAATCACACTTATATTACTTTGGCTATGTCCCAAAAGCCATATGCATTTTCAGTTAGCAATGAATTTACATTCAATCTTATAATAAAAGGTATGGTTTAGAGACTCAATCTAAGAACAATACAACTCATGTGTGTTTTTGTCTTGGTCTATCCAAAAATTTGGTCCTTTCCCTGAGAATGTTTCTTATCACATGTGTATTGTGATTTTACCCAACTCACTAGAAACAATGTTTTGGCCTGGTTATTCATGTGTAACGTGAAAGATTGGTTAGTTTATGAAAGATCATTAGTGGTCTGTGGATATGACAAAAATACAGCACAATACCGTACACTTGATGAGCAAAGACCAAATTCTTTCATAAGTTACCTATCCTTACAAAGATAATGAGTTCCAATTCAGTCATGTTTTCTATTAACTTTGATCTTATAATACCTTTCTTCAGCACCAGTTTTCTGATACTTCCTTTCTTGGCGTGTTTTGAACAAACCAGCTGACAAATGTAGACTCCAAGCATTTAAGCAAACTGAAGCAAAACCTGGGTGACCTGTAATGCATATTGGTTCTTCACCAACAGCTTGTATAACATTTTCTTTCTGTAAAGCAGCCAGGCATCCTTTAACTTCCTTGCAACACTTACATTCCTTTGCATTTTTTAAAAAACTTGTGTTACAGTTCCCACATTTACACCTAAAAAAATATATATGTACTAAATAAATCTCAATTCATTGTTCTATGCAAGTGAGCTATAAAGCAATATTTTGTCAAATAATACTTTTAAACTAAGCTGGTAATTCTTTATACTATACTGTATTATAAAAGATACAAAAGGTGACTATTTTGCCGGCAGCTGGCACGTTTTTAGCTTAGATTTCATATTGAAAAAATATTTTAAAAATATAACATTTATTAAAATTGGGTCATTCCATTTATTATCCGCACCCCCCCTATGGATGAGCTCTGGTAGAAATGTTACCTGTAGGAATCGGATTTCAGAGAAGTACCCTGTTGGAATCGACAGTATCAATCTAAACCCTAGGAATGCTGCTAATTGCCAATATCTCACTGGTAGGAATCTGCTAATTGCCAATATCTCACCGGTAGGAATCTGCTAATTCCCAATGTCAGACCGGGGGGGGGGTTGAGAATAATAAATGAAATTATTATGATTCTCATAATAAATATTTGGCAATATAGTATGCTACACCTTGACGGCAATATCTGACCGGTAGGAATCGGTCTGTATATAATAAACTAATGGTATGACTTTTTACCGACGTTTAAAACGGCCTTAAAATCGTTGATATATACTAACCAATATAATGGCCTAAATTGTCATTATAATAATTCCCTCGCGCTTCTTAGTGCTTGGTTCTCTTTCCGAGGCTTAGCAGTTGCCATAAAAATAATATTAGGTAGTTGTATGATGTGAATAAGTAGTGAATTTATATATCTTAATATATAAAATTTTAGCGGAGCACAAAATACACGTCTGCACACGACTGCACACGTCTGTAGTTTGGGGATATATTTTGAGTTCTTTGAAGGCACAATCTGACAAAGCAAATGTGCAGTTACAAAACGCCAGAAAACGGTGAAAATCGTGCAGCCTTGTAAAAACAAAGTAGATTCGCGAAAATATAATTTACTCATAAAACTTGTTTGCATGCTCTGAACGTAACTGTTTTGCTAATATCTTATAAGATTACAAAATGATAGTTTTTTCTTCGTCTGGTTTCGTTTTACTTCCATGTAAACGAAGTGTTTTCATGTTCTTGAAACAAAAATATTTAGTTGTCGATATAAGACTGTAAATTGCCTAAAAATAATCGTCGAAAACTATGGTTTCAAAAGCGTTGCCTCAAGCTCAAGCAACGTAGAAAATTATGAAATATAATTGTGTAAGTTTAAAAAGATTATTGAACTCCATTCAGTATTATAAAAGAGTTGAAATATTTGTAGAACATACCTATTGAGTTTGTCCATAGGCTGCCCAAAAGTGCGTGTTGAAATTTTTACCCTCGCGCGCAATCTCGTTCCCCGAGCCTGCGATCCTCGGGAAGGAACGCGAGGCTCTGGGATAATCCGTTTCAGGGAGGAATCTGATTGGCCGTTGAAATGGAATGCGTAGTTCAATCTTAGCCAGAATTCTTGGCTTCCGGCAATGGATTATCCCAGAGCCTCGCGTTCCTTCCCGAGGATCGCAGGCCCGGGGAACGAGATTGCCTCGCGCGTGGCGCTCGGGCACAGATGAAGTATATACCAGATGTGTCCGTCCTGCAAAACATGAACTTTTGCATTTTATTGCGGCCTTTTTGGATCGAAATTTATGGATTAAACAATCGAGAGCATCATTTGTTGAATGTTTAAAGTTTTTGAACGCGATTAAAGTTGTAGGAAAGGTGTTGAAAACATTTTTGAAGGCAATGACGTACTACCAAATGACGAATAATCACGCGAGCAACACTTGCTAGGAAGATGGCGACCATAGGACAACTTTTTTACTGAAGTTACACATCTGTCCTTACTTAATCTATGGCTCGGGTATGCATCGTGTCTACTCAGTTTATTATTATGACAAGGTTGGCAAGACTTTTAACGGAAATTTCATATGTGAAATCATAGTGTTCAGTGCAGGGGCGTAGGAAGCACCTGGAGTTTGGGGGGGCACCGGCTTGTAGGGGCACATTACTATCGGAAAGGGCACCTAAAAAATTTTTCCCGGAAATGTTGTCGGCGGGGGGAGGAGAAATTTTTCCTGAGGAAAATTTTCCGTCGTATCATACCGAAATTTATGTTTGTGACCTAATTTTTAAAAAAATTTGTAAATTTCCACACAAAAACGGCACCTATTGTTTTAATTTAGTATTTACAGCGACATTAGCTTCTACAAAAGGGGCACTTTTCCTCACAAAAAATGGCACTTTTCAACACAAAAAGGGCACTTTTTATCACAAAAAAGGGCACTTTTAGTCCTTTAAAAAAATTTGGGGGGGCACGTGCCCCCCGTGCCCCCCCGCTTCCTACGCCCCTGGTTCAGTGAATCATAGTGTTCAGTCATAATAATAAACTGAGTAGACACGATGCATGCCCGAGCGCCACGCGCGAGGGTAAACATTTCGACACGCACTTTTGGGCAGCCTATGGCACAGAATAGGAAGGTATAGCAGAAGCGTAACTCAAGCAAGTATTTGTCCGCGTTTTTACAAGCGATTCTTCATCAATCACGCCATCCTGGCTAGTACAACCGGCACTTTGTACCTACCAAAACCTGATAAAAACTTCCGGTTGTACTAGCCAGGATGACGTGGATTGGCGTGAGCGAGTTAAAATTTTCGTGGACGTCAAACAATAAGGGAAACGACTAGAGTTACGCTTCTGCTATAACTTCCTATTCTGTGCCTATGGTTTGTCTTGATCTTTCGTGTTTTGTTTTGGCTTGCACAACAACGTTGAAAATATATTTTTAAACGACGATTTCTGCATATAGTCTGTTCAGAACTATTGCTTTTCGTAAAAAAACCCACTGGAATGGGTTTTTAGACAATTTTTCTTCGTCACCAAAGTTTTTTTTCCAGTTTAAGTCCCGATACAAAATTTTTTGCAAACTTTTCAGTTGAAAAAACAATTCGCACTCCCTGCAACCGCGCGAAATTCCTTGCCTCAGGAGTCTGGGACCAACCAAAATGCCCTTTTGAATGCGCCATTTTGTGGAGACAAATTTTTTACTGAGAAAAGATAGGAGCACGCATTCTATGTCTATTATTTCTATGGGTCAATTACGAGGTCACAAGTCACACATAGAAGTCGGAAGAGATTCTTCGCTGGCCTCAAAGTGACAAAACGTGACAAAGCAACGGTTTTACTAACACTAACACTAACCCTACTCCAAACACCAACTCTAACCATAACCCTAATCCTTACCCTAATCTAACCCTACTCCAAATTTGTTTCTAAACCAATCTTGAAGAAAAAAGTTTTGACGAAATGTCATTCTGAGGTCAGCGAAATCAAGTTGATGCCGTGTCACACAACAATAGGAAAGAAAACATGGCGGAAGTAACAATGATCGGAAATAAGCAAAGGAAGTTGCCTGCGACACAGAATAGGAAGTTATACCAGAAGCGTAACTCTAGTCGTTTCCCTTATTGTTTGACGTCCACGAAAATTTTTAACTCGCTCACGTCAGGCCACGTCATCCTGGCTAGTACAGCCGGAAGTTTTTATCAGGATTTGGTAGGTACAAAGTGCCGGTTGTACTAGCCAGGATGGCGTGATTGATGACGAATCGCTTGTAAAAACGCGGACAAATATTTGCTCCAGTTACGCTTCTGGTATAACCATCCTCCTTCTATTAACCGTGGTATAACTTCCTATTCTGTGCCTGCGAGGAGTGCGAGGCTATAACCGGAAGTAAGAGTGGAAATATTTTCCGGGAACTGGGAAGCGAAACAGTGAAAATGAAACCAGAATACCTGTAAACTTTTGTCTGACTTTTGTAGCGTCCTTTTGTTGATAGCACAGCTTTAATTGCGCTTGAAATATCAGAGAAAATATCAGTATTCATCTGAGAATAATCACTAGTTATGGGTGACGAGGAGTGGAAGAAACGTTTGAACGACTCGGGATATAAGAATTGGCTCAAGGTTTCTCTTGCGCTGATTGAATCAAAAGAAGCTCTTCATGACTTCACTGAAAAAGTGATTCTCGACGTTCACAGAAATATTAAAACTACGGCAGGCTCGGTAACATGCACTGCGACACCTTCTTGTAATACGAATAAAGGGAAAGAACCAACTTGCCCAAGCTGTGCCAAATGGGTGACTGAAATAAGAAAGTATAGAAGTGACGGGCAGCTACAATGGAAAAACACAGACCCAAAGATGTGGCGCACTGTTCCCTGGGAAATTGCAAAGTGCTTCATGAATGCCCAGGGTGGCAAAGCCACTGCAGCTCTAAACACAGGACCTGCTAAGACTGACCTGTCTGGAATGTTGAATGTCCTTGTTAATTGTAAAGAATTCAGGCGTAATCATTTAAATGATAAAAAGTTGCCTGAACATGTTAGAACAGTGAGGAATCATCTGATGCATTGTGCAACAATGTCATTCAATGATGCAGAGATGCAGGACATGGTTGATAAGGTCATTGCACTTCTTGAAGATGACAAGGAATTGAAGTATTTGAAAATCAGTAAAGATAAGGTCAAGTTAATTAAATCATTAAGAGATAGTGAGTTTGAGCTGAAGCCAAAAGATGAAGAAGTATGCATTGAGACTGCGTTGGAAAGTCATGCATTGGCTGCTGACTCGGGAGAGGAAATCGATGAGAGCATGATGTCAAAGCTTAGCAAATTAATCAAAGGAAACAAGGAGCTGGAAAGGAAATTCAACAAGATTGATGAAAAGCTTGCAAATATGAAGCAAGAACACAATGCTGAGATTTCAAGGGTTGACATTGATTTAGGTGAACTCAAAGGAAGAATAGAATTCCTTGAGAAGAAACTTGCAAGTGGACAAAGTTTTCCTAGTGACAATCCTGCAAGTTTAGTACTTGGACATGAGATCAAGTCATTTTACAAAAGTGCTCTAAACATCTATACCCAGAAGAAAAAACTTGACAAACCAAAATATGATACCAAAGAAACTGAAGAGAAGATGTTTGTCAGCATAGTTCTTTTTGATGGAAAAGAATTCAAATCTAAACTAAAGCCATCAAAGAAAGATGCAGAACAAGATGCAGCAGAGGAGGCACTAAAGTTTCTAGGAAATGAAGATTCAGAAGTTCCCAATGATGAAAAGAATGAATCCCCATCAGCTGAGCATCAGATCACGGATAGTACATTGTCGACTCAACAAAAGGGCAAAAACTATAAAAATTTGTTACAAGAAAAAGCACAGAAGCAGAAGATACCATACCC